CATGACTCTTTGAACGCACGATCGCAGTGTGATCCGATTCAATTCACACGATTTTTTTACGGCTCATCGTTCAAATGTTATGGATCCGTGCTGGCCACGATTCACTTGAATGAACCGGATTGCAAGCAATGAATCGAATTCATTTTTAATACTCGTCTAAATGAACGGCTCGTTCAAATGAACGACTCGTTCAATCTTTGCCCGCCTCTATTGTGAATACTTAACATCAACTGAAATGTTTTTCTAAACGTGTGACATTGTTTTTTGTAATTATGTTATTTAAGGTTTGTAACTTGTTACATTCAGTTAGCAATAAAAAATTAAGATTTCTTCATTAATATGTACGATAATTGAGTGTACTCGTATAATCCAATTTTACTGAATATGCCATAACGGGTAAATGACTATTTGTATTGCCATTATCATATAATTTTACATTGTGTAACAAAATGTATTTTAACAAAAACTTAAAATAATTCTTAAAACCCTAATACCCGACACTGGTGTGGTCAGCACATGCGGTCCGTACCTGAATATCTTTATTTATTTTATTAGAATTTTTACTAATAATACATATTTAATTGGCAAAAATTAAACCCAAATGGGAGCCTAATTACGCCTCTCTGTACATATTTTATTACTTTTGCGTGAAAACTGAAAACGTTTATAATTTCCGTAATAAAAGAAAAGGGCCGATAAACTGACAATAAAAAGAATAAATATATTGCCTTGCTTCGGGGTATAAGGGCTATAAAAATATTTACGTTTATGTCGTTATATAGAGAAACTCCACATATTTCAGTTCAACTTTATGGTTTGCGAAGCAGTTTAGATATTTGATTTAAATTAAGTTTACTTTTTATTTTCTTGGTAAATAAAACAAACGAAATAAATATATTTTTGATTTACCAAATTAAAATTTAGAAAAGAGTTATTTCAGCATGTTAGACTGAATTTTATTACCTCATCCTGAATAATTGCAAACTTTCGATTAGGAAAAACAGATAAACTAATTGCTGTGTAACAGAGATTCAATTTTTATTTTATTGTTACTAAATGAATGTATTTATACCATTATAATATAACATTTCAGTAATCATGTTTTCCGATATAATTTTGAAAATATTATAATATTAATGGTGTTTATATTTATTGATATTGAATATTTGTTTCTAAATACCTTTAAATTAAACCGATTTCAGTTATAATTATGTATTTTTGAAATAAACAAATGTTTTTACATAAAATTAATATGGGAGGTTATCGACGCCTATGATCCTTATGATAGGCAGTCATTTTCACGCCGCGCCTGCACCCCGTGTCCGCTGATGTTGGCTTTGGAAACTGTTGAATGTCAGAGATTGTTGATTTCGGCCCAGAGAAGACATTGTTTGTCAAGCTAGTTAGAATTATATTTTAAAATATCAATTTCTGTTAAATATATTAATCTCCCGATTACAGGGATAATATTAAAACATATCGTGATTTAATAGGCCTTAACAACTTTCTAAACGTACTGTTTTATTTATAACATGGCGCCAAGCCGCCATCTTGATATTTAACAGATGGTAAATATTGCAACGTTAAAATGTAAAGCATTTCTAACTATATTTACTTTTGTGGTCAACAAATCTTAATGCGCCTCGACAGAAGCAAGATTTTGGGAAATTTGAGGAGAATAGGTCATGTAAATGAAGCGCTAAATTTGTTTAGGTTAGGTAAATCGCCCTACTTATTTTATTAAATGAAATGAAAGGAGTGCCGTACTCTGCCTGGAATTCACAAATAAAAGAGCATGGCAGAGAAAACCCTGATCACTATTCCAGAATCTAACTATGCTGTCCTGAACATTAATAAAAGAGAGATAATAATAATATAGAAACTGTCCTCATACCTAGGTACATAGTTTAATACATTCAAGACATGCCACATTTATATCGTTCAAAATTGAAGAGTTCTTGTTTTAACGGATCCCCATCCGCAGGTACTAATACCCTGGTTGCGAAACTAGAAGCTAAAGTTGAAGGTTTGTTGCCAATATCTTTAGATTATAAATTATTCTATGAGTTATTCTATTTATTGTTTTTCTTTGCTTTTTTGTGAGCTAAGATATTCGCCCATTCACGATCGAAAAGTGTTAGTACATTCAACAAGGCCCTTTTTCTCACGCTGAACCACCAACATCGGCACGAATGGACAGTAAACATTTGTATTTAGATTACTTTTAACTGAAATGATTCACAGCATAGTCGATTCCATTAAATGCATACACATGTTATATCATATAATTCTCAGATGAAATAAATAAGGAAAATCTTCAGCACAGAATATTACAACAGACAAATAAGCTATATGCTTTAGTTAACATAAGTTAAATAATGAGAAAACATTTACTTTACCTTTAATACCATTCTTTGCCACAAAACTTATGAACCGAAATAACACCACCGCGTCTCGAATGGTAGTCTAAAAGCTATTCTTTAACAACTAGTATCTCTGTTTGTAGCCTGATTTCCCTCTCCCTAGTTTGCGAATAATATTTTAAAAATCAATAATTTTATTTATGTATACAGAGTGTCCTAAAAACTGAATGTTTTGAATATAAAATAATAAGTCTATTTTTAAATAGGTGGTTCATCTCAAAGTTTAGTAGAATTTCATCATTTACAAACAACATACCTATGTTACCGCTTAGAATTGAGAAAAGTTAACGCTAAACAATTTGTCTCTTAGATCAACTTAGATTTTTATTATATCACAAAGCACTAACTTGATTCTCTATTCTCAATCATCAGTCACTTAATTGCAACGCCGAGACCAACACAGTTTTCGCATCTCTCATCTTTTTATCATCAGCCTTGATTGTATCGGAAGGCGGGGCAACAGGTCTCTAAAAGCCCATTACACCATATCCATCAGCGTGGTCAATCATAAATAGGCCAAACTATCCGATCGAAGCTTCTGGCTCGCGTCCAAGTCGCGTCGAATCGAAAATAGCTAGCTGCTCTCCACCGTGCCGTCCAGATTCGAGGCCTGTAAAGAATTCTCGCGGCAGACCGATCCACTTGTGTCTATCTGCTTGCGTGCCTGTTTTTCTTGTTATTTTAATTGCTATTTCGTAGTGTTGTTTCGTTTAAGCTGGAAAGGGTGGGATTAAAAGCAATGCACGGCAGTTCTAACGGTACGTAACGGTGTTTACACTTGTTTCGTGTTGCGTGTTTGTTTTGTGTTTCTTATTTACGTGGCAGTATTTTAAGTCGGTGTGGTCTTTATATCTTTTTCAGACTTCGGACAGATTAATAATTCGTAATTTTTACTAATAACTACTATAATTCAAATTATGTCTATTGCTGGAGTTCTTATTTTTAACAGTGACAGTGACAGCTCTTTTTAGTGCTGCGTTGTAAAATCAGGTTACCAGGTTGGTAAACTAAGATAAGGATCGGTTCCTGCAAAATATCGGTTAAATATGGAACAGTTTGGTAAATAGTCTGTCCCATAGGGTTTGTCCAACGCCAAAATCCTTTGACAGTGATAGATGTGTCTGTCATTTTAATTTCAAAGTAGATTATTTTATTTTACAAAGAGATAAACGTTGGTATAGGCTTGGTGTATTCTCCGCCTGTGCTGCCACCATCGGAGAATATCGTAAATAACTCGTACTTACAAATACACGGGTTTAAATAGCGATAATACGAAAAATGTATTATTTAACCTAACTAAGTGTTAGGAAGTATAATTTGTGGAAATTCTAATAATAAAAAAGTAAATATTTTGATATCTTCAGAAGGTCTAACTTGTATTATAATTTATTATTCCAGTTAAAAAAACTTTTTGGGTGAGTTCAACTACGGCAGCGAGCATATTTTTAATCACCGGTTTTGCTAATGGGGCATAATTGGGGCTATTTCGGCTATAACGAAATTTTTTAAAGGTACATAATTATAATTCAGAAGACGTATGATGATTTTTTTGATTATGTAACGAGCACTTTGTTTACTCAATTGTGTCGTCGAACTGCTTGAATCAATTTTTGCTATTGATCAAATCGGTGTGAGAAAATATGAAGCTATAGAATAGTTTCGGGAGAAGGGAATATACGGGAAAGTTGAGTTATTGAATGTTATTGCACCTAACAACGCCTTAATTACGCTCTCCTTTACGCGTTACCATTTTTTCGTCAATTTTATTAACATTTGGAATTGTCACATCACAACACCTCCAAATCTAATTTATTTAAAAATTAATTTTCTGTATAATATTTATTATTAATATTTTGTTTATTCTTTTTATACTTAAATCTCTAAATCTAACAATAAACCGGCACTGAATTAGTAAATCACAAATCTCTTGGAGTCGCTTAATACCGTAAATCCTGGAAAATCTTTGTTTATGATTATTTTCGTACACGAATCGCTCTAAGTAAAGTGCACGAGACAGTTTTATCCTTGTTTTGCCGTAACATAATAATAATTGAGATAAATACTTCTAGTAAACTATGATTAATTGTCTAAATTTTGTAATTGATTGCCAGATGTGATTTATAAATGATCTAAGCCATAAAACATCTACCATGTCTGTTAGATTAAACATCGTCTGGATAGAATCTAAAAAAGAGTCTATAACTTTACTGTAAGATGCAAAAATATTTTTGCTATCAGATAGAAGGAATAATTAAAAATGATGTAATATAATAGAATAACAGGGATATTTTGGTCTTTTATTACAAAAAAAACAAACTATAAAAAATATGAGTTTAATAAATTACCTTCTGAAGCCCCATATCACTATGCGCTGATGCAGTTCGTCAATGCGTGTCGTAATCCTCTACTCACCTTGGCTGATGGACGAATTTCCAAACGAACTAACTAATCGCATCGATGAATCGCATCGACGCATCGTACTCATTATCCGTGCATGGACGCATCAGCCCATAGTGAGTGGGGGTTTTACTCTAAAACCTTTAATATGATTACATATTATATTTTGTTGTAATGTAGGTGGTGATGACTCTAGCATAGAAGATGAATCCACATTGAAAGATCGAAATCAAGAATGGTCGGGAAGTAATTCTATTCAAGAAGGATCCACGTCTGATTTGTCCACGAGTTCTTCAGAGAGAAATGGCATCTTAGGAGGTATATAGATATACATTTTTTGCTATTTTTAGGAAGAGGTGTGCGTACAGACCTGACGAGACGAGACCGAGACGAGCGCGAGACATTCTAAATTTGCTAAGTGTGGACGGGTCACAAGTAAGAACCCATGCATGGAGTCTCGTTGCTATCCGTATCTGTCGGTTTTTCGACGGCCGATCAAAGAAAAAGTCGCACGAGACTGCGATATATCAGAGTATGCTGTATTTAGTTGCCTTGGCTAGTGACAGGCGTCTCTCAAAAAAATGGATTGAAGCAGTTTTGCAGTGGTATCGCGCTAGTCACTCTCTCGTCAAAGTCTCGTTTTGCGCGCGCCTTGCATTCGTCTCTTGTGGTCTGGACGCACCTTTAGAAACTAATAATTAATTCGTTTATATAGATATATAATATTTATTTATAATTTAGATAATATCAGGGCACAGCCTATTTATAACCAGCTTCCAAATATTAAAAGGGAAAACATAGTAAACATTTTAAAGTGTACAAAGCAATTAAAAAAAAACGTTCATAATCATAAGATCATTTATTGGTACAATGTTTTTTTTTAATAAAGTTCTTCATCGTGGACAAAATAAAGTATATCCGAATTTTCTTCAAAGGGAGTTATTCGTTTTTTCAACCCGCTACTTCAGGCAATCAAAACATTTAATAAGTTCATAGTCACTAGGTTCCTTAATATCTTTTTCTCTTGCATGCTTAACTTTAACTATGACTTCATTATATTGCAAAAATGAAAAACAAGCACTCATACATTCGTGCGAGTGCCTAGTTTACCTAAATTTTTCACAGAAAATTTCTTCCATAGATACCGCAATTTTTAAAACGATAAATAAACAATTGTACATAACCACAAAAAGCAAAGCGAATTTATGCCAGAGGTCTGTCAACGTTGCCAAAGTTTAGCCCAATTTAATGTTATCCTTATATTGCCTATTATTCAATTTATCCTTATTTATCCTTATTATTTTACACGTGTGGCAACCGCGCTAACTGAATCTTTCAAACTCGCTGCTATCACAGATTATACAGATTATAATCTTTGTTTTTTCTTTATTGTTTTTCGTGGTTCCAATTTTCGGAATCGGGCATTAGTTAGGTGACTAGTTTGCGCACATAGTACGCCCACTTATGGCCTCTAAAATTGTGCACAGCGCCTGACCGGCACAGTTATTAGAGAGATATCGGAAAACCGAATAGCGTCATGCAGTATTTACGCGTACCTTATCATGGTTACGATATGCGCGAGTCAATTTTTAACGCAACACCCGCTAATAACGTTACCGCCTGACGTAATTTGCGGATCAATTACACCAAGCGCTATTTGTAAACAACGTTTAAAAATTGCTTAAATGGGCATTACTCTCGACAACACCAATCTTTCAGTAGCGAAATGCCCTGTTTGTTTCCAGAAACTAACCCATTCTCTTAACCATTATAACAACCGGTAGACATCTAATCAAATAAATCTGATCTTTTTCGTGTCTAGATTCGGGCTCGACCCGCTGTACCAACGATTTCCAATGGATTCGTAAAGAGCCGCCCGCCGCCTTATCGCCCCCCCGGGCATCCCCCCAGCGTTTATCTCCAATCAGGATGGAGGAGGAATCGCCCCCGCACGAACCCGCTCCCCTGTGTAAACCCCCCATTTCCCGGTCTTTGAAGGAGAAAGTGACCAGAAGGAGCAGCGAAAGATCAGGCAGGTTATTAAAGAAAATATCAAATAATGTCGATACCGTATAGAATCTCTTTTTTTTATTGTAGTGTCTGATAACGCAAATATTTTTTTTATTTGCTTTCCTTGGTCATTCATCATAAAAATCTGTTAATAACATTTTTATTAACAGATTTTTATAAATAACATATTTCAGTAAGTTGCAGTAGAAAGAAAACTTAAAAACTAATATCTTACTGTAATGTCAGTAATGTGTAAAAAATTTCCAGAATACATTTTTGAAAATATTCCCTGAAATATTCGAAATATTGGAAATAAATTGAATACTAAAAAAAATAAGAAGCAAACTTTATTTAATATAATGTAACTTTATACAAAGAATACATTTACATGTTTACAAAATGCAACAAAATTTAATAATATACAGATGTCCCCGGATTGTCTTTACAAGAGGAAAAAACTTTTTTATTACTGACATTTTGAGAATAATGCATTCTTCATAAAACAATTTTGCTTGTTCTAAAATGGTTTAATCCCGTTTATACTTTTCCAAATTTCCATACCGTTTTAGAGAAAATTGGAAAACATGAAAATATGGTTGCATTTTTTCTAGAGCTTCATTCAGAACCTCGCAATTAGTGGTGTCAATTAGCGTAGAAGTTTGTTCCTTTAATTTTAATGTAAGCATTCAGAACGTTAAAATTAGTGGTAGACATTTTCATTTAGTAGAAAAAGTTATCAAACTTTTGACTTTTCCACTAATTATACTTGAAAATTTGCGAGAAATGTCCTTTTGGCATTTGATTATCTTCCGCCAAGAGAAATTGTGGTTTGGATACAACTGACTAGAGACGGTCCTACACGATGTGGCGAACACCTTCAAACGTTGGACGCACGGCATTCGCCACATCGTGTGGGAGCGCAGAAATCCATGTGTCGAACGTTCGAAGCAAGTTCGGGCTCTTGTCGGTAAATTTTACGCGAGTCAAAGGACCTTCCAACGTTCGAAGTAATGTTCGCTGCGCTCCTACACGAGAGTCTTCAGGTGGTTGATATTTTACTAGGGATCAGTAGCGGCCTCGCTTTTAATGCTACAACGTGGTCTCCTCAGGCTGAAAATTTTTCGTGATTTGTTATTTGCCAGAAATATGTAAGTACATACATAGGTATATAGAAAGATTAATTATTGGTTTTCTTTGTGTTAATAAATATCTGACAGAGAGAGAATCTTTGGTTATTACATTACTTTAGTGAAAACACTGAAATTTCCTTTTATTCATTCACTTTTTCTATTCATCAAGATTTTCTTCTTATATTAGATACGTGAATAAGTTTTTACTTTTTACTAAAATTACTTTTAAAATTTTCCGTTTTTAGTTAAAATGGAGTGGAATAATAAAATGATAATGGAATTTATTTCGATTTACGAGAAATATCCAATTATATGGAAGCCCAGGCATTCCGAGTATAAAAACCGCAATGCCTTAATTGATGCTTGGCGTGACATTTCTCAGGAAACGAGTATAGACTTGTCAGTAGCAGAATTGAAGAAAAAAAATGAATCTGTAATGGCAACGTATAGAACGTTGAGGAGGAAAGTTATAAAGTTATAGATTCTTATACAACCGGATCTGGGAGTGCAGAATATACAAACCATCTAGGTTTACTTATGATGCTATAGACAGATTTATAAGATCCTGTTACGTCTTTTTTTTGCGTCTGTTGTTTATTTTTTTTTGCTTCTTAACAGTTTAGCGCAACTTAAAACTATCATACCAGCGGCAATCCCAGCACTTAATATATTATCCATATCTGCTCAAGCCAAGAGTACGTACGACACTGAGTTAATTTCACAAATGTAGCGCCAGGTTTGCGTCCAACGTTGGAACGAACGTTTGAAGCATCGTGTAGGAGACACATTCGCCAATTGTAATATTGTCGAAAACTGGGTCAAATGTTGGTTCGAACGTTTGTTCGAACGTTGGACGCATCGTGTAGGACCGTCTTAAATCAAACTTTGATTGTTTTATAAGCTAAATATTAGACTTTCTCTATGGATACAACTGACTACGCAAGCTAGGATATTCTATTAATTTTAATTGTGTTTTTTAGACATTGTGAATGATCGTCAACTAAAAAGTATAAAGTGTAAAGCTTCATTCAGAACCTCCCAATTAGTGGAATAAATTAGTAGTTTCAATTACACTTTATACTTTTTAGTTTACGATCATTCACAATGCCTAAAAAACACAATTAAAATTAATAAAATATCCTAGCAACAGCTTGCGGTAGTCTGTTGTATCCCTAGAGAAAACATAATATTTAGCTTATAAAACAATAAACTTTTGATTTCTAACCAAAATGTTTCTTGACGGGTGATAATCAAAGGCCAAAATGACATTCCTCGCAAATTTTGAAGTATAATTAGTGGAAAAGTCAAAAGTTTGTTAAGTTTTTCCACTAAATGTTAAATTACTACCACTAATTATGACGTTCTGAATGCTTACATTAAAATTAGGTGATCAAACTTCTACCACTAATTAAAACTACTAATTTATTCCACTGATTTCGAGGTTCTGAACGAAGCTTAATTGAAACCACTAATTGCGAGGTTCTGAATGAAGCTTAAGTTCTAAAAATCAAAAGTGTTTCTATGGTAATATAATTTAGTTTTCATTCTTTGATAGATAGTGTTTATTAATTTTGATTAACGTCATATTTTTTGCTGATGTTAAAATATCAAATTTTCCGATAATTAATATATCTGCATATATCACAGAATGAAAACTTTGAATGAAAATAAAATTATATTACCATAGAAACGCGTTTTTACCGATTTTTAGGACTTTCAATTTCAACAAATAAATTCAATGATACAGTCTGAGTCATAAATAAGTACAAATATTTTCAGGGCTGGTAGATCTCGATAAAAGAAACATAATATTTTCTCTTTACCGGTTTTTGAAATAACTCCAAAATAACCGATATATTTTACTTCGAAATTTAAAAAAAAAAATATTTTTGCATAAATTTTGAGAACCGTTGGACCTTTTCTGGATTTTATTTCTTGTAAATTTAATCTACTACCTATGTTGCCATATTATCAACAAATTATATTTTTTAACTAAAGACTAAACAAATTTCCAAAAAAAATCAAAACATTCCAAATTCTGAAAAAAACATTCCAGGAAAAAACCTCATAATCGTGTTTCTGGAGTCGAAATATACTACCCCTAAAAATATTTGCACTTATTATATATTTATTATATTACACTCACCCTGTATATTTTAATGTTTTTTTTTGACATTTGAAAAAGTATAAACGGGATTAACCATAGACTTAAAATAAAATATAGACTACACTATTTACATATAAACGCGGTCAAACAATCTTTTTTGTACACATGTTTTCTTCTGGGTACAGTCGACCGAGCCTTCCTCATCCAGCCTATGTTGTCACGTCTTTAATATTATCAATATTTTTTTTCTTGTTATACACATATATTCAGATATTAATACTACATTTTAATAAAGTAGGTTTTAATATTCCATAGATGTATTAAATAGTCCTTATACTACTAAATTATAAGTCGGGTACTATTTAAAAAGGATAAGTTCTTTACAATATGGCAACACCGATTAGACGCGAGGTCGCCGATTCATTCATTTATTACCTTGTAGTATCGTCGCACGTGCGGTAAAGCTTTGTTGCCGTTATGTCCCCGGCTGTATTAAGGCATTTTCTTAGCTTGTAGTCCTTAAGTGTTTATTTTATTTACTTTTTCTGTTCAAGAACTATAAAATTTGGTTCGCCAGTGCCAAATTTGCAAGAAATTTGACTTAAATAATCCATTTAAGTCTTGAAACGACTTTCGACCGGTAGGCAACTCTCAATTTACCCATTGGGAGTCAGTGGCGTTGTTGTAGGAAGGCGCTTATCTAGATAATATTTTAGTAAAATGTAAAATCTGATTTTTTTCTCTTACATAATCATTTATATAAAGATTTTTGTAACAAAATCATAATTAGTATAACCCTGTTAATAATTAATAATGTTTTTATTAAAAATATATTCCGGTTTATTCTAAAATTATCTTCAAAATCTAAAATATCATACAAGAATTTTAAAATGATATTACATTATGAAACAATATTTTTTAATATACCGGGTTTGTCTCAAAAGTGGCTCACCCCTATAACTTTTTTATTTTTTCAGAAAGAAAAAACAGATTTGTATGGTAGTAGGCATATGACATAAATTAGGATTGATTGACGTATTCAATTGTTTTTGGTCTCTTCGTGTTTCACCGGAAATGGTTACATCTTTTGATTTTTAAAGGCACCCTCGGTATATTGCTACTTTATTCGATAAAAAATGTCACTCTGAATAGAATAACATATCATATATCAACTTTTGACATTGTCGCTTAAAAACAAATATTATTTTAAATTTCAATCCAGGGTGCCATGGTGTTGTTAAAAAGTTTTAATCAAGGAGCCTTGGAAAAATAGTTTTGATCGTCTAATGGGTTTCGTGTCTTGTCTAAGCCGGTTAAAAGATGTACAAATCGTATTTTTAATCATATGTCAATTTTTTCAAATGAAACAAGGGTGACTCATTAGCATATTTGGAAAAAGCATTTTTTTATGAATATATTGATACCACACACTTGGTATTTCCAGTCAAATTGTCGTTATGAACCGCGTGTTACAATTACAATTAAACCGTATGCGAAAATGTCAAAACTTGACATATGATATGTCATTCTATTCAGAGTGACATTTTCTATCGAATAAAGTAGATATATACCTAGGATGCCATTTAAAAATTAAAAGTTATAGTCATTTCCGGTGAAACAGGAAATGACCAAAAACAATTGAATGCGTCAATCAATCCTAATTTATGTCATATACTAACATACTAAATCTTGTTTTTTTATTTGAAAAAATAAAAAAAAATTATGGGGATGAGCCACTTTTGGGACACACCCGGTATAATAAAGACAGTACTGAGTTAAATAAATGTAGTTTTCATTTTATCCGCTTCCTATCACCTTCCTTGCTTTAATGGAACAGATTTATGTTTTCTCTAATTTACATAATAAGGCGTCACTTAACCAGAATAACATTTTTTTTCTCTCCCTGTCGCCGATTCTATTATATCTGTAAAATAGATCCTGATTTGATTAATATTAGGGGTTGTAAATGTTTGACTAAAATTAATATTTTTTTTAATAATTTCAAAAATTACGTAATTTCGATTATAAAATTTCTTCTATAACATGTATTTTATTATTTTTATCCTTTTTGGACTCTAAGACGTTTTTCCTAAACTTTTATTTAAAAAAACCTCTCCTAAATCTTAATAAAATATAAAAAAGTTTAAATACGATATATTTTTAATTTAATTATAGTTTCATTAAAATAAAAAAAATACCTGGCTGATGATACGGAGAGTTCAGGTGTACTTGAGAAACGAAAGACAGTGTTGCGTTTCTCGTCAGAGTCGTCAGGGAACGACCGTTACGACAGAGACAACCTATCTATCGCTCGTGTCGCACTCGTTATAACCTAAAACAATAACACAACAATAACAAGTCATTGTCTGACCGCATGTTCCAGCTATTATTTATGAATGAGATACTCAGTCTATATTTTATTTTAAGTCTATGGGATTAACCAATTTAGAACATGCAAAATTTTTTTATTAAGAATTCATTTTTCTCCAAAATCTCAGTAATAAAAAAGTCTTTCCTCTTGTAAAGACAATCCGGGGACATACCTACTATAGGTTGAAGACAATGAAAATTGAATTATAATACCTACTGTATAAAATTTCAATTCTAATAGCACAAAAATACTAGGGACTGTCGTATGAGTTAACCTCGAATCTCGAATTGATCAAGTATCACTTAGAACTAGTATTTTGAAGTAAATTTTATTAAATATTAAATATTATAAATTTCAGGTGCCCCAACAGGTTCTTCGGCGCCAGGCAGCTTGGACAGACGCAGACATCATCTGAAGAGAGAAGAGAGAGATCAGAAGTCTCGATCGTCACATGTTAAAAGTCCTCCTAGATTGGAAGATTTCCAACCAAATTTAACCCCAAACTGCCAGAATGGTTTTTGCTATCCCCCCACTTGTGGTCCTTACGATGGTTATATGGAAAGCTTTCACAGGCGCCACGAGAGGTAATATAAAAACAGTCATTTCGAATACATATATTTGATACCAATTAAACTTTTAGTTACGTAATCGAGGGCACGATTTTTAAATTCATTGTTGCCAACCATCGACATATTCCGCGCCGGGCTGACTAACTGGAACATAATCTTTTTTCTGGGAATTCAGGTGGCAGCTCTGCTGTAAAAAATGTCAAGTTGCCACATTTATTTATTTATTTCCTGACATTGTCATTCGTTTTGCCTCTTTAATTTTGTATTACGAGTTTTTGGTTTAAATAAATAGTGTTGTGATACTTTAGGCTTTAAAATGTTTACTAGCAGACCTCGCAGTCGAACATTGTCCTTTTTAGAACCTCTTTTAGTGCGAAGTGTACAAGATTATTAGCTTAATAGCCGGTAAAAAACTCATCGCAACTTTATTAGAATATATTGTACGGGAAAGCGGTAGTAATGGCCCTTTTATGTCCCTTAAGTGCTGTTAACAAGGTGAGTTTTGTATTAACTGTTTATATATACAGGGTGGCGCACCTCATTCGCCTCGGTTTATTATACGAAAACGGAAATATGTAGAAACAAAATATTTTATGGGTATATGTGGGGAGGCAATGTGCACAATTTAAAATTATTTTGAAATATACAGGGTGTTTCAGAACGAAGATCCATACCAAAGTTATATTTTTTCTTATGGAACACCCGGTATTTTATTTCATTTTTGAATTCCTGGGCCCAGCAAAAGGCATTTTTTATAAGGGTTAAATATGTTTAAAGTCATTGTTTTTTGAGATATTTAAAGATATTTAAATTTGCATGCTACTATAGAATAGATTAATTAACACCCTGTACATTACTTTTCAGAATTAATTCTTGTGCTGAATTTAAAGGTAGAGAAATAGACTTTACTGGAAAATGTTATTGCTTCCTTAAATTTATACAGGGGTATCAAAAATTGCTGATCTATTTTAAGGATTTATTTTACATAAAAACTTCGATATTTCAAATACACCATGTATTTTTTATAATAAATCGAAGCAGATTCAAATGTTCTTTCAAACTATATTAGGGTTTCCTATACCTATCTAGCTCAGATTTTGAATAAAGAGCAATTTTTCAATAAAATGGCAACCAAGAGGGCTAGTGTCGTCATGGCAAGTTTCTAGTGACAGTTAGTAGCTATTTTCAAAATCGAAATTAGTTTATGGGCTTATTTAAATTTATATCAGTTTACTTTTATTTAATATACCTACAATAGTTTAATAAATAATATTGATTAAATATGTATTTATTATTTTATCAAGAAAAACGAAGAAGTGGTTCTTTGATTTATTTTACGATGACTTGTAGATATATGGGTTTTCTATGAAAGAGACAATTATGGCAAATGCATTTTCTTCACTTCCAACGACAGGTTTCTGCCTAACAGTTTTTTTTATAAACCACACTACACTGCGAAATAGGACTAGTAGTTTTTCAAAGGAACGCTTATCAGGAAGATTCCTGTTCTTAGATACATTTGAGCATAAGCTCTTGAACCTAAGAAGCGATTTTCCTCACAAAATAAAATCACTACGAACATATCCATTCGTTCCGCCAGCAGACACTACTTTATTTTTCTTGATAAAATAATGAATACTTACTTATTAAACTATTGTAGGTAAATCTAAGTAAACTGTTAAAAATTATAAATAATAATGTTCATAAACTAATGTCGACTTTGAAAATAGTTACTAACTGTCACTAGAAAATTACAATGGCGACACCAGCCATCTTGATTGCTCTTTTATTTAAAAATCGCTTTTTATTCAAAATCTGAGTTAGATAAGTATAGGAAACCCTAATATAGTTTGAAAGAGCATTTGAATCTGCTTCGGTTTATTTAAAAAAATACAGGGTGTTGCGTTTGAAATAACGAAGTTTTTATATATAAAATAAACCCTTAAAATAGATCAGCAATTTTTGATACCTCTGTATAAATTTAAGGAAGCAATGCCATTTTTCAGTAAAGTTTATTTCTTTACCTTTAAACTCAGCACAAAAATTAATTCTGAAAAGTAATGTACAGGGTGATAATAATCTATTCTATTGTAGCATGCAAATTTAAATATATTTAAATATCTCAAAAACCAAAGATTTTAAACATATTTAACCCTTATAATAAATTACTTTTTTTGGGCCCAAGAATCCAAAAATGAAATAAAATACCGGGTGTTCCATAAGAAAAAATATAACTTTGGTATGGATCTTCGTTCTGAAACACCCTGTATATTTCCGTTTTCTGTTTACCGTTTTCGTATAATCAACCGAGGCGAATGAGGTGCGCCACCCTGTATTTATAATTATTTTTTTTTTGTTTCCCAAAACATTTTGATCAAAAGAAAATATGTAAAAGTGAACAACTCTGTGCCGGTCATGCTTAATCACGTGACTAAAAGTTTATTTGATATGAACTATACGTAGGAGAATATCTCTGTTTCTTAATTCTAGGTCTGATCCGCAAAGATACGGTAGCAGTCCGATGCTGATGGATCACAGAGAACACAGACTCTTCTCGGAAAGAGGCAGTCATCCAGATATATATGGGGATTGTTCCAGATATCGTCACGAGATGGCGTGTTGTTCTTACCATATGGGTCCTCCGCCATGTTGTTTTTACGGTGGCGATCGGGGGTATCACTGGACACCTCCTCCTTATCCTAAGGTTGAATTATTTTTCAACCTCTTTAACTTATATTTATTATATTGTTTTTTTATAACCAGGAGAGATCATAATTAGTTTTCAAAAGCTTGGTTTATTTTATTAACTAATTAACATATTTTTTCTTCTAGCCGGGAGAACAAGATGAAAAGTTTAGGAAAATTCAGTACGAGCGAGACAATCTGCAGTTGCAAGTACAAGTTTTGACTGAGCAGATCGAAGCACAATCGGATAAAATTACGGATTTAGAAAAAGTGTTGCACGAAAAGAAGCAAATGTTGTCTGAAGCGGAAGAAAAACTTCAGAGGGTGAGTAACTACATCTCTAGCATATATTAAAATTGAATATCTAATACCAGTTGAGCCATAATATAGGTTTTATATTTTTTATTTACTGGGATTAAACGTGTATGAGCCGGCACAACAGAGTCTAGTCTGATTCCTCCACACACTTGGTATTTCGAATCAAATTGTCAAAAATGTCTATACCTATGTGGCAGATTCATCTATCCAAAAAATTCTATATGGGTATTTCGCCACTGCAAGAAAATCTGCAAAATAAAATAGTTATTTTTTGTAAACACTTCTGCGTTAATCCAAACGGAAACTACTTGTCAGGAGTTAGGTTTACAGATATACAAATTTGCCTAACGAACAAAAAAATGCTTGACGTTTCGCAAAGTTTATCTCTTTCCGTCGTCGGAAGCAAAAAATACAAAGAATAAAGAAAAAAACTATTTAAAATATTTAAATTCAACTATTCGAGAACACTTTAGTTTTTTAAAACAGATACGTCTACAAAAACCGTTGACATTATGCTTAATAAGGTAAAACCAAAAAACCCCGAATTTTCTGTATGATTATTTTAAATTTTTACGTATATATTATGTTATGTTTATTTATGTTATGTTCTTTAAAATCAAAGAAGCAATTGCCATACATTAATATTATTACTAACATCTACAGATACATGAGCAATACATTTATTTTTATTAGATTGTGTAGTGTAACAACCCAAATTCGTCAACAAAGTTGAAGAGGTAATATTTTGACCAACTTTATAACAAACAATTTAAATGAAAGAAAGGAACCTACGTTGTGTTAAATATTTTTTTATTGTGATTACCTCGGATGCGCCTCGACAGAAGCAATATTTTGGGAAATTTGAGGAGAATAGGTTATGTAAATAAAACGCTAAATTTGCAAATAGCCCTACTTATTTTGTTAAATGAAATGAAAGGAGTGCCGTACTCTGCCTGGAATTCACATATAAAAGAGCACGGCAGAGAAAACCATGATCACTATACCAGAGAATCTAACTATGCTGTCCTGAACTTTAATAAAAGAGAAATAATAATATAGAAACTGTCCTCATACCTAGGTTTATAGTTTAATACATTCGAAAACATGCCACATTTATATCGTTCAAAACTGAAGAGTTTTTTGTTAGTTTAACGGGTCCCCACCCGTAGGTACGAAGTCCCTTGTTGCGGAATCGACGCTAAAGTTGAAGGTTTGGTGCCAATATCTTATAATTTAATAAATTGTAAGTTATTCTATGAATTATTTAATTTATTGTTTTTGTTTGCCCTTTTGCGAGCTAAGATATTCGCCCATGCAAGGTCGAAAATTGTTAGTACACTCAACAAGGCTCTTATTCTCACAAACCACAAACATCGGCACAAAGGAACAGTAAATGATTTTATTTAGATTACTTTTAAACTGAAATTATTTACAGCATAAGTAGATTCTATTAAATGCATACACATGTTATATATTGTCTTTGTCAGATCAAATGAATAAGGAAAAACTTTAAACAGAATTACAACAAGAAAACAAAATAATATGATTTAGTTAACATTAGTTAAATAATGAGAAAACATTTACTTTACCTTTAATAACATTCTTTGTCACAAAACTCAAGAACCAAAATAATATCAATGCGTCTCGAATGGTAGTCTAGAAGCTATTATCTAACAACTCTCACCTCTGTTCGTCGCCTGATTTCCCTCTCCCTAGTTTGTGATTAATATTTTAAAAATCAATAATTTTGTTTATGTATACAGAGTGTCTTAAAAATGAATGTTTTGAATTTAAATAAATATGTCTATTTTTAAATAGGCGGTTCATCACAATTGTATTAAAAAAGTCTCTTTTATTTTTCTTTTAGAGGCTATCGCTTCTTCCGCTATAATTTTGGCGTTATTAAAATTTATTCTGTGCCCATGAATTGAATCAAATTGTCATTATGAACCGCATGTTACAAATCTGAGAAAATAAAAATGTTATAGGGGTGAGCCACTTCGGGGACGCATCCGGTATAATTAGAAAAAGTCCTATAGTAATTTCATTTAACTTTTTACTCTGTTTTATTAATGAGAATTAATTAAATACTACTGGATACTGTGTAAATACCTTTTAGAAATATTTAAATTGCAAGAATAAATAAAAGCATCGAATATTAAAAATAATACATACATATATCTATATTGTTTATTATTTTTTATTTTTATTTTCACAATTTAATAATGTACGGTAAATTTAATATCTGAGAAATAAATTACGGTTACATATGACCAAGCTAAACCAAATAAAAAAACTAGGTGAAGTTAAAAGGCAGGAAAATTAAAGTGGCACAGGAAATGCTAGTAGGTAGAGCAAGAGGCATGCGAATCAAGTGTTCTTGAACCGTTCAAGTACCGCGTGACCAAGAAAAGAATTACTTTAAAGTTTAAAGTTGACCTCTTTCATTTCACATTAAAATTAATTTTCATTTACAGTTTGCCTTCTAGAAAGCAATTGTTTTGTTCTTTTGAACTTTTTATGTTTGTAGTTATTGTCAGGTTAATATTTTACAAGAATTTAATTTTAATACACAGGTAAATTGTAGTTTCTGTATTTTTTTGGACGGTCTCTGTCTTCTCAATTTTTTCAATCAACAGTTATACGTTATGCTATTTAAGTACAAACAAAATGTGTATCATATCCTCAACTATTATGCTAAATTATCGACCATGTTTATATAGAAAGCTTCGTAATGTTCCTCATACATATAACAAATTCCTCATTAACAAATGAATATGCAACTGTCAGTCCACACACCCGCATGTTTTTTAAGCTTGTACACTGATGTTTAGGAACAACCGGGAGACAAAGATAATACATATCGTAACATGAACTATTATGCTAGATTAAAGGTCTTTTATAAAGTTGTTTTTGAAGTTCTGTGATGTTTCTTATACCGATCTGGTCATTCTAAATCGGAGGCCTGATTTCTAATTAATAAGACAAGGATAATGAGTTGACTTATGTGATAACTAAGTTGGTAGACAGGGATACAAAAAATGGACACTCTATACCGGTCGCAACTCCTATATCGCAACCCCTATAACTTTTATATTTTTTCACATAAACAAACGATATTTGGTATGTTAGTATATAACATAAATTAGAATTGATTGACGTATTCAATTGTTTTTGGTCACTTCCTACAACTATTGATTTTTAAATGGCACCCTCGGTATTTTTTTACTTTCTTCAATAGAAAATGTCACTCGGAATAGAATGATATAACACATGTCAAATTTTGACATCTTTGCTTAAAAAAATCGTATTTAAAATTTCAATCTAGAGTGCTATGGCTGTGTTAAAAACACTAATTTTTAATCAAGGAGTCTTGGAAAAATGTATTTGATCCTCTAGTGTTTTTCGTGTCTTGTCCTGGCTGGTTTAAAGATATCCAAATCGTATTTTCATTCATATTTCATTTTTTTAAAATGGAACGAGGGTGGCTCATTAGCATATTTGGAAAAGGCATTTATTTTTTTACGAATAATTTGTTACCACACACTTGGTATTTCGATTCAAATTGTCGTTATGATCCGCATGTCATTATGATCCGCACAATTTCAAATAAACCATATGAGAAAATGTCAAAAGTTGACATATCATATGTCATTCTACTACAGTGTCATTTTCTATCGAATTAAGTAAAAAAATACCGAGGGTGCCATTTAAAAATCCAAAGTTGTTGTCATTTCCGGTGAAACAGAAAGTGACCAGAAACAATTGAAGACGTCAATCAATCCTAATTTATGTCATATACTAACCTACCAAATCTCGTTTTTTTATCTGAAAAAAATAAATAAAATTATAGGGGTGAGCCACTTTTGAGACGCACCCGGTATAGGGGTCCGAATTCTATTCGGGAAACTTTCGGCAGTGTTTTCTGTAGATAAAAATAAGTAAAAAACTTCCTATAAATTTATGTCCTAAATTCTTTGTTTCGGAGATACGGGGTATAGAAGTTTCATTTCTATTTCGATTTTTTTTCAAGTAATTTCTGAGCTAACGCCTATATTTGGATGGAAATTGGTGCTTTTTGACATGAGACATTCGATTTTTATGTTGGTAAGACTCCCACTTGTAGGGCACGCCACCTACATATTTTATAACTGTTTTGAAGAGTAATCACTTTTTGTTCGTACCTGTATTACAACTGCTGAATAAAAAATTTACATTTCCGTATTTTTTTACGCAAAAAACGCCTGTTGGTAAAAATCGCTTCGGGTAATAGTCAATACATGTCACAATTGACAAAAATTATACATGTTGACTGGATAGTTATTAGTCTGAAATAATAAATTTGAAATGTTTTTACACCAAAGAGTCAACAGAAACTGTTTTATCGTATTTTTTTAGAGAAATTCATGATTAGCTTAAAAAAATAAAAAATCTTCAAATTTAGCATTTCAGTCAAATAACCGTTTATTCAACATGTTTATTTTTTGTCAATATAATGACATGCATTGGCTATTGTTATTCCAATAAACGGTTGTTCGTAGCGATTTGTAGCAAGAGACATTATTTACGCAAAAGATTACGGAGATGTATATTTTTTCACTCAGTAGTTTAATACAGGTACGGACAGAAAAGTTACTCTTCAAATCAATTAAAAAACATGTAGGAGTCATATTGACAACAAAATTAAATTTATTAGGTCAAAAAACATCCAGAGCCCCATTTTCATGCAAATATCGATGTTAGTTCAGAAATTATTTGGAAAAAAACCCGAAATAAAAGTGAAACATCTATACCGTGTATCTTGGAAACGACGCATTTTAGGACATAAATTTAGATGCATTTTTTTCTATTATATTTTTAGAATATGCTGCCGAAGTTTCCCGAATACAATTCGGAGCACCCTGTATACCGGGTGCGTCTTACAACTGGTTCGCCCACATAACTTTTTTATTTTTTCAGTTAAAAAAACGTGATTTGGTATGTTAGTATATGACATAAATTAGGATTGATTGACGCATTCAATTATTTTCGGTCACTTCCTGTTTCACCGGAAATGACTAAAATTTTTGATTTTTAAATGACACACTCGGTATTTTTTTACTTTAGTCGACAGAAAATAACACTCTGCATAGAATGACATATCATATGTCAACTTTTGACATTTTCGCATATGGTTTATTTGAAACTATAACTTTCGGTTCGTAACGAAAGTTTGACTCGAAATACTGCGTGTGGTATCAAATTATTTGTAATAAATGTGTGGTATCAATTTATTCGTAAAAAAATGCTTTTCCCAAATATGCTAATGAGCCACTCTCGTGCCATTTGAAAAAATTGAGATATGATTAAAATACGATTTGAGCATTTTCTAACTGGCCAGGATAACTGACCAAACATTACACGATCAAATCGATTTTCCAAGGCTCCTTGATTAAGAATTAGTGTTTTTAACATAGCCAAATAGCCTAGATTGAATTTTAAAATACGATTTTTTATTAAGCGAGAATGCAATTTTCTATCGAATAAAGTAAAAAAAAATACCGAGGGTGCCATTTAAAAATGAAAAGTTGTAGTAATTTCCGATGAAACAGAAAATGACCAAAAACAATTGAATACGTTAATCAATCTTAATTTATGTCATATATTAAGACATACCACAAGCTCATACCAATATATACCAAATTTCGTTTTTTTATCTGAAAAAATAAAAAAGTTATAGGGGTGAGCAATTTTTGAGACGCACCCGGTATTGCAATAGATTTGTGAGCTCGGAATCCATTATTAGCTCAACAAAGACATAATAGATATCATAGACTGAACTATTATGCAGAATTATCGATCATAAATAAAACGCAACTATGTGTTGTTTTAGGAAGTCCTTTCACGTTCATCTCTGGAGACCCAAAAACTAGAACTGATGTCAATAATGAGCGAATTGAAGTTAAACGCGGCCGCTCTGGAAAGAGAAAATATGGAATTAAGAAATTGTCCGTACAATAACAACAGTGACTTGAAAAAGCCGCCTTTAGTGCCTAGAATTGGTTCGTCGTCGCAGCCTCAGTTGACTTCTACACCACAACATTCTAGTCAGGTAGGAATAACCAGAAATTATTATACTTCATGTTTTATATGAATTTGTTGTTTTCGTAGGGAATAAGAGTGTCCCCATCGCCTAGTCCAGTTGGTTTGTCAACGGGATCTACTAGGAACGCCGATTCAACGTTATCCTATCAAAATGACATACTTAGACCAAAGGTAATTAATAAATATATATAGTAATTATAGTAATTTCATTGTACCTATTGAATAAAAAGGCTAAGGAAGGTATCCAAAATAAACGCATATTCAAATATTAATCTTGTGGAATATATATCAACATAAAACGAGATGTACTTAACGAAATATCATCGTAACAACGGATATTTTAGAAACGTTTAGGTTTGCTTATTTCCCTGAGATTTGTGAAAAAAAAATCCTTTGCCTCGGGTACAGATACCGCCACGTTTTGCAAATAGCTCAAAATGAAACAAAGTTGAACGAAGCAACAAAGAAACGCCAAAAAAAACCATACCCTCCTCACGAGTAGTTTTCAGGCGCTTTTGAATCGAAAGTATGTCGAGGCAAACCGAAGTGGGTCAAGACAACTGGAAATAAACTGAAATGCGACAAAGTTGGGGACGAAATGCGACCTTGACCTGCTTCGAAGAGTTCTCTGCATAGTGTAGAGGCTGTTTTCAATATTGACGTTCTGCTTAGTATAAATAAAATATGATCTTTGGAAGACTAAAGTGTATAAAGTCGAATCATTTTAGATTGGGCATTTAAATTTTTGAGATTTTTGGAAACCCTATTCCTGACAAATAAAACATGAAAAATATCCAAATAACTTTGCACTAACAATTATGGAATTAATTTTAAAATTATTTCCTCGAACATCATTTGTGCATTTATTTTATAGCAAAATAACACTTTTACTTTTGCACTGGAAGCGCGTTTCACTAACCATGTTAGCATCATCGGCAGATGATTAATACTAGCGTATCTGTAGTTTCATTATTGAATAATTATGTTAACTTATTTGTTTTTATTAGGCATATATTTTTTAACATTTTTAATAACTATTAACATTTATTGACAATGTAAAATAAAACCAGCAATTAGTATACGCTATTTTATATTTTATCACTTTTTAAATTACAAAGAAACTAATATATTTGTATTAAAATTTCTTTGCGGTGGCGCCATATTTTTTTTGTGATGTACTCCTTCCTTTGTCTTTTTATTCAATAGCATCACCAGAAAATTATAAACAACATACTTTAATAAAAATATTATCCCTTTCAAGTGCAAAAATAAATTTAAATTTAATATTTAGATTAATATGATCCTATTGAGTACATAGAGACAACACAGTCCTAAAATTTCAACAACTCCTGATTTAACAACGTGCATCATGTTGTCTGGCAACCAGGAGGTTCAGAAGTATATTATACACTTATTGGACATTATTAACTTTTTTTCTACATATTTTTATTTAGCTCTAAAATTTGAATGAAATTGTTGTTGAATGTTGATACATTTAAAAAGATATTCCAGAGAAATATAGATATCAAAAACTTTGGTTCAATACTGATGCTACAGACTTCTCAACAGTACCAATAGACTTCGTAGTAACGTCACTCATACCGACAACTTCGCAATCCATTAAGTTAATATCAGTATAAAGTTAGTTGTCTTGTAACTATATTTGGTGTATTTCTATACCGTTTGTTTTTATTTGTTGTTTGTTTGTTGTTCTGATTTGGTGTTTACATTAAGATTTCTTTATACGATGTAAATGTTTTTTGTATTATTTTTAAAACACGTCTGCTTGAAGGTGAATATTTAATAGAGTATAAATAACCTCGTTGGGAGACGCAGTAACTATAAATAAATGTATTTGGAGTTGTTTTTGTTAAATGGGGGTACAATAAGTGGGGATAGCAAAGTTGGAGATCCAGTCAAAAAACTAAATGCTCAGGAGTCATGGTTCTGACCGAAAAATAGTGTTTAAGAAAAATTTACTAGTTATTTAGTAAATTTACTAAGTATTGCACAGGGTGTTTTAAAGTTAGGGTAAAAAATAACTCCTCGATTAACCCCGTATAATAAGCCAAATACAAAGTTTTTTAAAGAACTGAGTTTACCAATTAAAGCAGATATATACAGTTTACTAAAAAAATTATTAAAATAGGGCTAAAAATTTAAAAAAATGTGGCACTTTAAATTAAACTTCACTAAACATTTTTCTGTTGTTTTTTTTGTATCTGAGTATATTATAAACTCTAATATATTATAGCAGTAACTAAAATATAAAATACTTCATCCGCATAAACTAACTAGAATTACTAAAAAACCATGGCAAAACAGAAAATCGAAATAAAATTCAAATATTTCTTAAACAATATTTGAAATTTTAGTTAATTTCTCAACCACCTTCAAACAAATGGTAGATGTTTTAATTTTATATGTTTACTATAATGCCCAGTGAGTTATTTATACCATATGTTACACGTTGCTGGAGACACTTTTTCCCTATGGAATTATTCTTTTTTAATTCCCATGGGAGCCAAATTTTTAGACAAAAGTATATTTGCGGCAACTTTTGTCACAAATTTAGTGCACATGGGGATTAAATATTCGACAAAAGGTATTTCGTCAAGAAATTTTCAGTTATAAATAATGTTTATTAACTGTTGTTTGTCCAATGAAAAAATACATTCCAGTATATGCATCATTTTAATTCGAAAGTACATAGTGTTTTCTGCAATTTCTTAGTCATCTTTTAATTCCAGTGAGAGCTAAATTTGTAGGGCAAAGTTAATTTGCAACTTGTGCCCTAAATTTAGTACTCATGGGGATTGAATATTCGACAAATGGAATTTTGACGGGACATTTTCAATTATAAATATTCATTAATGGATTGTCCAACGAGAAAAAACATGACAGTGACAGTATTTATAGTCTGTCCAACGAGAAGATCCTTGACAGTGATAAATGTGGCTGTCATTTTAATTTCAATGTAGTTTATTTTATTTTACAAAGAAATAAGTTGGTACAACTGGAACGCATAGCAAGAAATTAATATATTTAAAATTTTACTGACAAGTGATTACTTCAAAATATTGTGAAAGAAACTGTATAAAACTGAAAAAATGTAATCGAGTTATTTTTTAAACGGTATGTGTTAATACAAATCAAACAAGAACAAGACAACACATACCAAAAAAATATAAAAAAGAACTATTTCTTACTTTCAAGCTTTATGAAACTTCCCGCATTTATGATTATATTTATTAATTATATAACTTATGTACCAATACAAATTTGTAATATTCCACAGGAATAAATAAAACAACATAAATAAAACAAACTATTTTATTAATAATAACACTTACCAAATTTTATACCTTAAAGGTTGATTAATTAACTTTAATCTTAATTTTTTTAAACCAGTACCTTTTGACATTATTTTTCTGCAGTACTAAAATCCATTATTTACTTATCGTGTGATGTCGATATTTTACAGCTACTCCAGTTTTTAGTATGTGTTTAGTATGGTTCTTCTACCATATTCGCGATGCACGTATCTACGACGAGATGGAATACGAACTTTATTGATGGTAACTTTATTGGTGTATAAGACTTTCTGCCTAAGCAGCGAGTATTAACCATAAACTGTGCTCTGGGTCTACAGTTAATTTTCACTCGATTTTTTCTCCACTTCACTTCAAAAGACACAAAACACACGTAATAACAGGAATCAAAATACATTATCTTCCAAAACGCAGATATTTGACATGAGTTGACACAAAATTATAACCCAAAAACAGTTAACCTAATAGGACTGCTCATTCAGCTAAAAGTATCCGCCAGGGGCATGCGAAAACTACGCTTGTGACGTCATTGTAGCCCTTGTCATGGTTATTAGTCCTTATCCGGCAACCAATAATACACACACGTGCATTATTGGTTACCGAATGCAAAACGTTCATTATTTAGTTTATTTATTTAAACACCTTATATGTATGCAGTATAGAAAATTAACTGTATAAATCGTATTAAATACTCGGAACAGCAGTTCCCAGCATCACCTTTTGCAAGCATTCTTTTTAGAGTACTTCCATATTTTGCTTTAAAATAATTAATAAACAAAATCGTGGGCACTTAGTATGAACTTTGTCACAATTCACAACACAAAATGAACGAATTTATACACTCTGTAGCTCTAAAAACTTTAAAGACACCTTTTTCACATTTAAAATTGACAAAATAATTAACTCAAAATTTCTCAGCTGTTATTTTTATAAGTTTACCATAGGCAACACTATCATGACAAGGACTACAATGACGTCACAACTGTCAGCTGAAGCGCGGGAAGAGGCGAACGTACGTCTTATGAGGATGAGCAATCCTATTATTTTACCGTTCTTGATTATAACCTATAATTTGACAAGACTTTGACAAGCGTCAAAAATCTATAGGCGAGTTCATACGCATCGGCTTCCGTTTGTCGTTTATCGTTCCGTCAAACCAATAAAATTGAAATACGATCTGTCATTTTTAAAATAAACCAATAAAACTGGTTAAAAACAACAAGAGACGACGCATGACGGATTTATATTTAAACCCATCCATAGTTAATTTTAAAATTATTAGAAAGGGTTAGTTATTAGAAAGGAGATTATTAGGAGGTATAAAACTTATATCATAGATAAAGGAAATAAATTTAGATTGGAATGCCCGTCAAAATTTTGGGTCGCGACCGTTGTACGCAATCTGGCTCTGCTATAGCGGTTGCTAAGAACAACCGCAAACAAAAACAGGAATAATTTTCACTTGTCCATATCTCTTGTTGAAGTCAGAATCTTCAAAAATTATAAAATCTTTCAAAATCTAAACCCCGTGTGACGCTAAGTGTTTAAAGCGTCCATTTTCAAAGTAATTATTGCTATCTTGTGAGTTTACTTTAATTTATTTACTCAAACCCGTGATAATTGTGAAAAAGTGTGAGTTGTGATTGTGAAAAAGACTGTGAACTGCGAAAACTATCGTGGATCGTGGTATAACGTCGGTTTCCAATGTTTTATAGGTATTTCATACATGTCCTTATATAAAATAAAGTTTTTTGTATGCAACACATTGTATTTTATTTATAAAATAAAAAGAAAATAATAAATTTGAATAATATTTGGCGATATAATTCCGAAAAAAGCCGAACTGCTCCGAAATTTTCAAAAGCTTTGGGTCGCGACCGTTGCAAGAATAGCGCCATATAGTGTTTATATTGTCCTTATGGGCACTTTCCAATATAAACTTGTTTCATTTATCTATGACATATCTATTTTATCAAGGCCAGATTTGGGCAATAGTTAATTTATGTCAACTGTTGTCGCAAATTTGACAATCATGGGGATTAAATATCAGGCAAGATACTTTCGTCAAGAAACTTTCAATTATAAATGTTTATAAGTACATAATTGTTGTTTGTCCAACGAGACAATATAATATATGTGTGTTTTCTGTAACTTTTTAGTCATCTGTCGAAATTAATCCTTCTCTCGCTGTACATAATGGGATTGTTATGATTGTTGAATGTAAATTATTAAATTTGATGTATTCAGAACATTAATTTATTTGACGTTTCAAGAACTCGATATTTTTAACGATGATGATAAAATCCGTGGCAGCTCGTAACAATAAAGAGCACTTTTACATAAAGCAACTTGTGTCCGCTACTTTTGGCTATCAATCGCTCTCTTTGATACCGATAGCTGACACAATTCAGAACATCAAATTAAATCGAGAAAATTCCGTAGATATAGCTTAAACATGGATGTGAAATAACATTATTGCACTAAAAGCAGCGTTGTCCGCAAAGTGGTTAGTAGTAGTAGTGGCTAGTAAGTAGATTTTAAACAACGCTTTGTTAAAGGGCGTCGCGTCGGACACAAGTGGCTTCGTGTGAAAGTGCTGTAAGAACTGGTATGTGTTCAAGCTCTGTAACCTTTGTACATTTTGGAGCTCGTGTGTTACCTGTGCATATCCTCATTCATCCGTGGGTCGACATATTCGTCGTCATGTACGTATCTAGTAACGAGAAAAGCGACAAGAATCTTTGTAGATGGCATGGCGGCGAAAGCATGATTACTGAATAATCTTTGTCTTACGATCCCTGGTAACGATTACATAGAATCCGAACAAATTCGTAGGACAATTTATTGGTGCAAATCCGTAAGGAATCGTTAAAAGAAAACAACTAACTGCTTATGACTAAGTTTTACAAATTCGTTCGAATATTTAAGGTTGATTCTCACTATAGTTTCGGTTTCATATCCGTTCCGTATAGAGGTTTTCCATATCAGCTCCCTTCCGTTTACATAAGATATTATATTATGTAAATGAATAGGACAATGCACACTATCCGTTCCATATCCTTTCCTTCCGTACATTTTTTTGGCGGACGGACTGAAGCGTATCGAAAACAGCGTCGTCAAGTTCTTGCATTTGTGTCAGTTCTGTTAACATTTTGCTGATATTTATTTATTCTTTCACCTCTTAATTAAATCTATTACCTTTTTCAAAAGATACAAATTTTTAAAACAATACTTTCGTAATGATATAAGTTGTACATTAAAAAGTATGGAACTGATACGGAATGGAATCTTACGTATAGCGTCAATACAATAAAAACTACGGAACGGATATGGAATGGATGTGGGTATATCGCAAAATGCTGAGAATGCCATGGACTGACCGTGTCTCGAATGAACGAGTTCTAAACCAAATGAACAAGAACCGAGAACTCCTCGACATAATAAAAAAGAGAAAAGCAGCCTATTTGGGCCATTTCATGAGACATAGCAAGTATGAATTCCTTCAGCTCATCATCGAGGGTAAAATTGAGGGAAAGCGCGGACCCGGACGACGGCAATGCTCCTGGCTGAACAACATCAGAGATTGGACAGGCCTGGACTCACATACTTTGCTGAGAAGAGCGAAAAATAGAGAGGAATTTGCCATGGTTGTTGCCGATCTTCACTGAATGGAGAAGGCACTTTAAGAAGAAGATGGAATGGAAACGGAAGGTATATTGAGAATCAACCTTAATTTGATTTTATTCACACTATTAAACGTAACCATGGAAACGGTACGAAAACGGAACGGATCCGATAGTGGGCATTGTCTTATTCGCTTACAATAATACCGTATGATTGAAAAAAAAACGGCGTCAGCGATGGTTACGAAATGAAGATCGCTGTCATTTTATATATGTAAATTTATATGGAAAATTTTATCGATCGTTATTTCCAAGCCAACTGGACGCCGTTTTTTTCGATCATACTGTTTAATACTTTACGTAAGCTGAATTTTTTTTCCTTTGTTTTATACAGGATGGTGCCAATTGTATTCGGGGAAAAAAAATAAGTAAAAAAGTTCGTATAAATTTATGTTCCAAAATGCTTCGCTTAGGAGATACAGGGTGTAAACATTTAATTTTTATTTTGATTTTTTCCAAATAATATCTAAGCTAAAGCCGATATTTGGATGAAAAGTGTTAGTGTCTGGGTGTTTTTTGACATCATAAATTCGGAATTATATGTCAGTATGACTCCTACTTGTAGGGGGCCCAGCTACATATTTTTTAATTTTTTTGAAGGGTTTTTAACTTTTCACCCTTACCTGTATTACACTACCGAGTGAAAAAATATATATTTACGTCATTTTTTGTATAAAAAATGGTTCTCAAGATATACAGAAACTGTTTTATTGTATTTTTTGCTAGGAAAGTTCATGATTTTCTTAAAAAATAGAAAGTTCCCAAATTTATTATTTCAGTCAAATAACTATCTACTCGACATGTTTATTTTTTGTCAATAATGACATGTATTGAACTATTTCCATTCTAAATATTTTGAAAACGGTTGCTCGTGGTGATTTTTACCAACAGATATTTTTTAAGTAAAAAAATACGGGAAGGTATATTTTTTTACTCGGTATACAGATTCGGACGAAAAGTTATTACTCTACAAATCATTTAAAAAACATGTAGTTGGCGCCCTCTAAAAGTAGAAGTCATCGAATTTCTCATGTCAAAAAACATTTGAAAAAACGAAGAATTTTAGGACACACATTTTTACGATTTTTTTTACTTATTTTTATCTGCAGAATATCCTGCTGAAGTTTCCCGAATACAATTCGGACCACCCTGCAGAATAGGTTCAATAAACGTCGAATTTTGGAAAAGCTGTATAATCTGGGGATACAAAAATAACGCCAGACCTGGCTGACCCGGTATATGACACTCATTTAACAAAAAATATATATTTTCGTGTTATATTAAGATAAAACGAACTTGTACTAATTTGAAAGAATTTGATACACTACTTACGAATTTGTACGGATTGAGATCGAATGTACAGTACGTCTGTTCGTTCTGTAGCTACGGGGTATCCGTGAGAGGGGAAATGATATTCTCTCGATGTCTTTCGTAAAAAAATAGACGACGCGTCCCATCAATAAAAATTCAACAAATTTGCAAGTAGCCAATAAAATGAGCGGGCGGAGCGATTTGCGGTGACGTACTCGTTAAGTCGACGTATAAAATAAATTGCTGTTTATTTAAATATTTTTGTCCGCATTCCTTTCATAGTCACAGATCCAGCAGACGTACTGTAACTGTCGACTTAAGTGTATCTATCTTCATGAACTAATTAGTGTTAAGTCGATTTTAAAATAACTGTACGATTTTTTCAGACACCCCCTTCATCGTACAAACGTCAAATAGACATCCAGTACGGCAGTCTACCCAGGCAACAATTCCTGACGAACGGATCGGGCACCAACTTCTCCGTGGTGGACTCGAATGCGAACCCTCAGCAGAAAAAGGGCGTGGCATTCGGTAGGAACAGCAGTTTGCAGCACTTGCCCTTGGTGGCGGGTGGTAGCAGAATGAGGGGGTTCTCGGTGCCCAACCTAGGTGATATAGCTCCAGTCTACGATATAGATGTGGCGATTGATTGGCTTCCTTTCATGGTTTTTCTCTTAATTGCCCTTTGTGCAAATTTAATACAGCTTGAATTTATTTACTTCCACAAATCCATCTGTTATAATTATTATCTTAACTCTAGAAAAGCAATTTAATGATGTAATTATGTCGCTTTTAAATTTTCCTAGTTTATGGAGTGTGTGCAATCTAGAGGTGTGTAGTTCGTGAACGAACTAGTTCCAATAAACTATTCCGACCCCGGAATGAAAGGATCTAGTTCCTGGTTTCTCAAAGAACTAGTTCCTCAGGACCTATTCCGGGATCGAGACTATGACCGATATAGAATAATATGCGACGGCGACGGATCGGCTAACGCGCGTAGCCCGATGGTAGGCAGGAGTGGGGAGTGCCAGCCGTACGATATCGGACCGGTCCTACAGGCACTAAACTAAATAAAAGACTAGTTTCTAGGTTACGTACGAGCGGATCGGGCCAGCGCGATCGATGCTAGGCAGGAGTGGGGAGTGCCAGCCGTATGCCGTATGTTATCGGATCCGGACCTAAAGGAACTAGAGGAACTAAATAAAAGACTAGTTTACGTATGGATCAGCCAGCGCGATTGATGCTAGGCAGGCGTGGGGAGTACTAGCCGTATGTTATCGGATCCGGACATAGAGGAACTATGAAGACTAGTTCACGGGAATCTATTCAGTCGGCAGATCCGAGATATAATACAAGGCGACGACGATGGATTCGGCCTTGTCTATTGCCACAGCCGGCGCGGCGTAATTACCACAGAAAATTGTCGTGGATACTGTTTTTGATTTTTAGTTTGTTTTTTAAATATTTTATGGGAATGTTTCACTTTAGGTCCCTAAAATTAAGAAATATCTTATAAAACGAAGTAGATATTCTGAACTTTTAGACAAAAACAAAGAGCTTGAAGTGAGGAAAAATGCATTTTTTCGTAAAATTTTTGTAATATTTGCTCCAATTAATTTGTGATATAGTTCTTTAAATTCTGATTTGAGTTTTTTTATTTTTTTTATCTGCAATAAAACTTACCTATATGGTTTTAACATACACAATTACACGTCTCGTTATATCTCCGTACATTATAAAAATTATACAGATCATATTATGAATAGTTCTGACTGAGAACGAAACGCATTAGCAAGCAAGGGGAATGTCAATGTTAGTCGGGAGCTATTGTGAACTAAAGACCTAGTTCAAGGAACTATTCCTTTGGAGGAACTAGAACTAAGGAACTAGTTCCTCCGAAGGAACTAGAATTCCCACCTCTAGTGCAATCTTCGTTTCTTCATGTATAAGCAAAAATAGATGATAGCGTTCATTAAAGAAAGAAGAAGATGCGCAACCTTATGGGCGATTTCGTGGCACAAAACTTGTCTGAGACTTCCGAGATTTAGTTTAGCTCTGGGCCGTTGCGCGTTGATAGTCGCTTACAGCGCAGCGGATAAAGAATACTGTACTGTAGTTCTGCCGAAGACAGTGTTGCTAGAACTACGTATTAATCCGTAGATTTACGGATTTCGGGTACAGTACGTTAATAATACGGATTTTCTATCATTAAACAATTTAGTATAATATTATATATTTAAACAAATAACGGCGTCAGAGTCGGCTTGGAAATGAAGATCGCTGTTGTTTCATATGTAAAATATTATAGTAAATGTCAATAATCGTCATTTCCACGCCAACTAAACGACTTTTTCATCATACGAAATATTCAGTACCTATAAAAAAATTTTAGTTTTGTTGTTTATTCTATCACGAATAAATTTTCAATACATAAACGTGAATTTTTCATACACAGATATTTTCGTCAAACGTATTACAGCAAAATAAAAACACTAAATCACCACAATACACCAAAACACTTTTACTTTTACACTGGACGCGCGTTTATAAACAGTTTATAAGCATCTGCTGATGATGCTAACATGGTTAGCGAAACGCGCGTCCAGTGTAAAAGTAAAGTGTTTTGGTGTATTGTGGTGATTTAGTGTTTTTATTTTGCTGTGTAACACCAAAGGTTCCAACCCTCAACTGTAAACGTATTACAGATATTACACATTTTAATATGGTTATACCGTCTTCGATATGCCTTCGCTAGACCAATTAGAGAAAATGAGCGTTTTAAGCATTGGCCGCAGAACGAGTGGCAGCTCCACCGTACGGCACTTGAGACGTAAGCAGAAGTCAAGTCAGCCTTGTCACGAATTCGTCCATTAGGTTGCGTATCTTCCCAATTCTTTCAATCAACGCTTTCAATACTTAATCGTCGTTTCTTGCGGTATAAGCAAAAATAATTGATAGTGTTCGTATCTCAGTCTAATATTTATGTAGTGGTCATATATTTAGTTAAATTTATTATATAAATTTATAGTTTTTAAATCAAAATATAATTTAGTTCAAAAAATATTTAACATACCCAATAAGTCTCCATTTATCAATGTGGCATAGTTTCTCTTTTTAGGTACCTAGTTCATTTAAATTTTAGATTTTCTGTGTTGTTTATTATAATAAATTATATCAAAATATGAATTTCTTAATATAGAAGAATAATAACTGTTTGATTACACAGAGATATATTAGAAAAAAATCTATGAATAGGTTTCAAGTTATTACAGCACTTGTATTTATGAATTATTTGTTGTACACACTCCATAATAATACTCTAACTCGTTATTTTAATTAATTATTGGAATAGATAGAAAAAATATCTGAACGTAATCCATTGTTTCTGATATTACTATTGATGTTTACTAACCTTTTGCTTTTCGCAAGCTTCCAATAATAATACATTTTTAATTTTTAGCTTTTTAATTAAATATATCTTTAATTTTGCACATTAATAATGAAACCAATATGACGACTAGAGCTATTCACTTATTTTATTTTACCATATAACCTCCACATTATACAATCACATTTTTAAATATATCAGGTTCTTTGAAAGAACTCCTCCTGAGCTATGATCTAAAGTTATGCATTTTATTATGAGACTTCGAGTATATTATAAATTATATTTAAATGATCTTTCAGCAGATTCTATTTCTAGAGCCTGATATAATTTTCTCCCATTTTTATTCATGTAATTAAAAATAATGCTTTATTTGGCTTATAGGTGCAATAATATATTACCTTGAACTATATAGAAATTAATTAGTTTGAGAAATAAAAGTTTTGTAATATACAGGGTACAATTTGCTTCTAATGGAAACTTTCATTATTGAATTACTAAAATATTTTTTTATGGGAAATTACTTTAGAATGACTATATCTATATATATATATATATATATATATATATATATATATATATATATATATATATATATATATATATATATTATTAAACCGCTTATACGAGCCCAAAAACTACGTTGCTTCATTGGGCTCAGACCCGATTTCGACATTTCAAGCCCGGGGTCGGGTCTGAGTACGATTTCAGTGGTTATCGTCTAGAACGGTTTCCCCACTTCCCTGACCAAATTTCAGCTGGGCCTGAAAAATGGTTTTACGTTTTTTATATACGATTGGGGGTACACCGGTATTGTCACGGGCGGCGCCACCTTCGACATTAGTATAAGTGTATAAGCCGATTTACGTTGAATCGATGTATTCAGACCCAAGAACCGGCAACACGGTAAAGCAAACTATTAAAGGGAAACGAAGATATAGCCGTGTTATATTTGGTAGAAAACAAAATGCTCATACTTTAATTAGAATATTAAGAAATTCAGACAAAAAAAATCCGGTCGTTCGGCTAATAAATATTAGAAACAAAATTATTTCGATCGGCGGGTCAAAAATTGTACGAGTACCTAAAAATTTATTTCGATGCTATGATTTCGTTGTAGAAGTAACTAAATTTTTTTTCATCTAAATCGATCAGCGCGTCGTGTCAAAGAATTGTAGGAGTAACTACAAATTTATTTCGATGCTGTGATTTCGCTGTAGAAGTACCTAAAATTTTTTCGTCTAAATCGATCGTCGTGTCAAAAAATTGTACGATTACCTAGAAATTTATTTCGATACTATGACTTCGTTGTAGAAGTATTTAAAAATTATTTTCATTTAAATCGATCGTCGTATACCGGGTGCGTCTCAAAAGTTGCTTACCCCTACAACTTTTTTATTTTGTCAGATAAAAAAACGAGTTTTGGTATGTTTTTGTTATTAAAATGATAACATAAATTAGGATTGATTGACGTATTCAATTGTTTTTGGTCACTTCCTGTTTCACCGGAAATGACTGCAACTTTTGATTTTTAAATGACACCCCCGGTATGTTTTTACATTATTCGATAGAAAATCACACTCTGAATAGAATGGCATATCATAATATGTCAATTTTTGACATTTTCACATATGATTTATTTGTAACATGCGGTTCATAATGACAATTTGACTCGAGTACCAAATTGTGGTACCAAATTATTCGTAGAAAAATGCTTTTTCCAAATATGCTATCGAGCCACCTTTGTTCCGTTTGAAAAAATTGAGATATGATTAAAAATTCGATTTTGATATCTTATAACGGGCCCGGACAAGACACGAAAATCATTAGACTATCAAATCTATTTTTCCAAGGCTCCTTGATTAAAAATTAGTGTTTTTAACACATCCATGGCACTCTATAATAGATAGAAATTTAAAATAAGATTTTTTAAGCAAAAATGTCAAAAGTTGACATATTATGATATATTATTCTATTCAGAGTGTCATTTTCTATCGAATAATGTAAAAACATACCGGGGGTGTCATTTAATAATCAAAAGTTGTAGTCGTTTCCGGTGAAACTGGAAGTGACCAAAAACAATTGAATACGTCAATCAATTCCAATTTATGTCATATACTAACATACCAAATCTCGTTTTTTTTATCCAAAAAAAATAAATAAAAAAGTTATAGCGGTGGACCACTTTTGAGACGCACCCAGTATAAAATGACAGCAACCTTCA